AGCTGTTAAATTATCGAATGAGTTGGATAGTAGTATGTACTGATGTGGGGCTGATAAGGAATGGATATGTAAATATTAATTCTCAATACCCCCCTTCAAGCTGGACGGTACGGAGGTAACTCCAAGCTTGTCTTTCAAGAATAGAAAATAGGTCTGCAATTTGATCTGAAGTAGGTACATATCTTACTTCCAGTTTCTTTGCATACACCTTGTCTCTAATGAAATAAATATCTAGCTCTATATTTTTCGTTCTGGTATGGTAAACTGGGTTGGCAGCTAAAGCACATGCACTAATATTATCACACCATAAAGTTGGGGTTCCTGCTAATGGAAGTTTCAGCTCTTGAAACAATGACTGAATGCAGGCAATTTCTGAAGCACTGGATGCAAGGGCCCTGTATTCTGACTCTGTGCTTGATCGTGCCACGGCATGCTACTTCTTTGAAGACCAAGCTATCAAGTTTTCTCCCGAATAAATGTAGTAACCTGTTGTTGATCTTCTATCATCTGGACAAGAGGCCCAATCTGCATTTGAGTAACCATTCAGGTTCAATCTGTCGCTTATTTGAATCCATAAGCCATAGTTCATTGTTCCTTTAAGGTACCTTAACACCATCTTCAATGCCTGCTAGTGTATAAAGGTTGGAGTTTGCAGAAATTGGCTCAATTTGTTAACTGCAAATGTGATATCTGGTATGGTATGTGTGAGGTATTGTAGTGCTCCAACTGCACTTCTGTAGATTGAGGGTTCAGGCCACATTTCACCCTCAGACTTAGAGATTGTTCTACCAGCAATAATAGGTATATGACAATGCTTTAAGTTTTGCAGCTCAAACCTATTAAGCAAATTAGCAATGTATCTTGTCTGAGTAAGGTGAAGACCTGAATCATGCCATTCTACCTACTCTAAGAAAGTGTTGCAATCTTCCCATGTCTTTTAGTGAAAATTTTATGTTCAATGTATTTATAAAACCTTGCACCAGATCTTTGTCATTACTAGTTACAACAATGTCATCAACATAAATGAGAGCAAAAATCACCTTTCTTTCATTCTTGAAATAGAACAATGAAGTGTCAGCTACAGATTGCTTGAACTTCTAGCATAAAAATGTTGCCTTCAGTTTGTCATACCAGGCCCTAGGTGCCTACTTCAATCCATAGAGGGCTTTTTCGAGCTTACATACATAATCAGGCTTTGATTTGTCTATTAATCCTTCAGGCTGAGTTATATACTGTCTCTTCTAGTTCTCCATTTAGGAAGGCATTGTTAATGTCTATTTGCCTGATGGTCCATTCCTTAGCAACAGCCAGAGTGAGTATATTCCTTAGAGTTGATGGCTTAATAACTGGACTAAATGTTTTATAGTAGTTAATTCCAAGAGTCTAAAGAAAACCTTTTGCTACCAACCTGGCTTTGAACCTTTGTATCGATCCATCCATGTTGTGTTTGATTTTGAAAACCCATTTATTTTCCACTATGTTGTAGGTTGGTGATGGAGGCACAAGCTTCCAAGTTTTGGTCTTCATTAAGGAATTGTATTCTTCTTCTTCCATGGCTTTCTTCCAACCTGCATTCATCAATGGCCTCTTTCACGTTTTTGGGCTCAGACAGTTCTAAAACATTTTCAGCTAAATTTGCTAAGTAAGCTTTTGGTTTGAACACCCCAGCTTTACCTCTAGTGATCATAGGATGCTCATTTTGAATTCTTGGTCTTTCCTCAATCTCAATTTCAGCTGGCTGTTGAACACCTTCAATCCTTTCATTATTCCGCAGTATATCAGATGCTGATTCTGCAGATTCTAATTCAATATTCTCCTCTGTTACATTTCTGTCAAAGTCTTCAATGTTGTTATCATGGAATGCCTTTTCCTGTTGATCGTCACTTAGATCAGATAGTAAGTGATGATGAACATGAGTTGCTTCAGGCTGAGTTATATCAATAGGACTGGAGGCTATGATTGAATTGTTGAATTAATATGGAAGATGAATGTATGGCACTACTAGTTTGTAGACTTGGAATGGTTTTTGACAGTGAATAAGGACTCAAAGGGAAATTCAAGTTCATTGAAAACAACATGTCTTGAGATGTAACCTTCCTGCTGAGCTCAAATGCTTATAGCCTTTATGGGAGTCACTGTAGCCAAGAAAGATGCACTTTGTGGAATGGAAGCTGAATTTGTATCTTTGGTAGGGTCTCAAACAAGGATAGCAGGAACATCCAAAGACCTTTAATGTTCTATAGTTAGGCTCCTTTTTTTATAAGACTTGGTAGGGTAATTGTGATTCAAGAGTGGGTGTAGGTAGTTTGTTTATGAGGTATGTGACAGTTTGAAAGGAGCCCCACCGATATTTTAAAGGTAATTGGGCTTGAGCTAGAAGTGTCAAACCGGTCTTAGTTATATGCATATGTTTTCTTTCTATTCTACCATTTTGGGCTGAAGTGTAGGGGCATGGATGTTTAAATTCTATGCTTCCTTGTGTAAAAAGATTTGAGAAAGTTCTACATTCACCTCCCCAGTCAGCCTGCAGAGTTTTTATTTTGTTACTCAATTTATTTTGAACAAATTTCTTGAATTGGTTGAACACATTCAAGGATTCTGACTTCTATTTTAGAGGGTAAATCCAAGTAAACCTACTGAAATCATCAAGAAAGGTCGTGTAATATATGAATCCAGATGTTGACATAACTGGTGCTGGTCCTCATATATCAGTTTACACTAATTTTAAGGGAATTTTGGCATGTGAGGAAGACAAAGAGAAAGGTAACATGTGAGACTTGCCAACTTGACATGCATTGCAAAATGATTTGATGTCATTTTCTTTTGTTTTTAGATTACGGATTTTAAGCACTTGAGTCATCACTTGGCTGGAGGGATAACCAAGCCTTTTGTGCTATACATCAACGTTGGAAATTAAAGACTCTTGACTTGAATTAACTGGGGACTTTTGACTAGGAAAAGTTGAAGATTCTTGACTGAAATGAGCAGAGGAAAGGTTGCAGTATGATTTATTTGAAGAATTTGACTGTTGATGAAGGTAGTTGGTGCTTTGGTGATGAAACTCCATTTGATACAACCTTTCATTAAGCTTTCCTTGTAACATCACTTCCTTCATTGACAGGTCCTTGACAGAACAATAGTTAGGATGAAATTCTATGAAAACCTGATTATCTGAAGTTAGCCGTGAGACACTAACAAGATTTTTCTTGATTTCAGACACATGTAGCAGGTTGTTCAGTACCAATGTTTTATCATTTAAGGCAGGTATGTGTGTGGTTCCAAAGTGTGAGATGAGTAGCTTATTTCCATTTCCTATCATGATTCTTTCCTTACCAGTATACTCATTCATTGAGATGATGTTCCCTTTGTCAGAAGTGATGTGGTTGCTAGCTCCAGTGTTTGCAAACCATGCAGGATCATTCACGATGTTGTGAGAAGCTATGAGAGCTGTTGGTGAAGAGTTGAAGCTGATCCTCTGATTTGGTGATGTCCCGGTGTATCTTTCATCATATCTAAAGTTACACACATTTGCTTTGTGCCCAACTTTCCCACATACTTGGCAAACTGGCCTGTCACCTCCATGTAAGCTTCCTCCTCTATTTCTACCTCTTCTATCAATTCTGTAATGATTGAAGTTTGTAAACCTTTCTCCTATATTTGGCATGTTAGACCTGTACTGGTGATGACTAAAACCAGACCTCTGAGAGAGGTTAGCTGAGGTTTGGTCAATGCTTATCCCGGCCATTTCATTTCTGATTGAGTTGAGGCGTTCTAGTCTGCTTTCATAGGTCATCAACGTGGATTGAAGTTCTCCCCAAGAGATGTGATCCCTACTGTTGATTTGGACAATAATTGGTGTATAGTCTTCATCACGACCTGCTAAAACTTAAGTAATCAGGTCTGATTGAGTGATTGTTTTCCAGCAATTTCCAGATTATCAGCAAGCTGTTTGCCTTTGTTTAAGTACTGATCAATATTCATGTTTCCTTTCCTTGATTTGTGGAGTTCACCAGTAAGAAAGGTGATCCTAGATCTATTTTGGACTCCATAACTCTCCTCAATGGTAGTCCATAATTCATTTGAGTTTGTTGCACACATCACTCTCATGGCTATGTCCGGTGTTATTGAAGAGTAAAACCATCCCATTAGCAGCTGGTCTGCGGACATCCATTGGCAATATTCTAGATTATTAACCATCTCAACACTAGTTCCAACTTCACCAGTAATTTGAGTGCCAGTGAATTCTTGAGGACACACCTTTATCCCAAGAATATACGCTTCCAGATTATGTCCTCGAATGATTGGGAGAATCATGTTTTTCCAGAGCAGATAATTATTCTTATCTAGCTTCACAGACACAGTTTGGGTAAGGTTGACACCAAAAGGTTTGAGGTGCTTGTTTCCAAGTGGTGGTGCAACAGTGCTACAGGAAATGGATGCAAGAGTAGTAGCAGGGTGGCATTTTGTGGTGTGTTACTGGCATTGGCCATGGTAGTTCTGATACCAAGTTAAAGATTTAAAAGAAAGCAAGATGATGATCAACGGGTTTTTCTCTTTTTTGTTACACATATTCTTCCTACTACTGCTAGATTATATAATATAAGGTAATGTTACAAGAATGATCTAGAACCTATGGTTGTTAGGTAGTTCCTTAATTTGTGGGTCATGTTGGAATCTTTATACAACAACTTGGTGATCCAAATGAACACAAAGCAAACGATTATGACAGCAAGGAGCGAAGCTGCTGAATCATCGAATGAGTTGGATAGTAGTCTGTACTGGCGTGGGGCTGATAAGGAGTGGATATGTAAATATTAATTCTCAATAAAAATAGTATGGAATTTGAACCAGTTTAGTCCAATAATCTTCACTTCCATCTTCTCTCAAAACCCATATATCAATTTTTGTCGGATAACTCAAAGAAACATAAAGTCGCCCTCCCGAAACCATCAACATTGTATCGTCAATCCCTGTTTCATACTTGGGTTTGTGTACCAATTCTAATATATCAGTTGTAATTCCATGTGCCACAATAAACCAATCTCTCGGGTTATTTGTGGGTATAGTACTTTCCAATGGATAGCTCCATTCACACATACACCGCAGCCAGTGAATACGAATCCAGGAGGGTCGTCAATGATTCTACATGAATCGATTTTTGAACTGTACACCTTGAAAAAAGCATTAATTTCATCCAAATCATCAATTGTGAAACCAATTTCTACAAATTTGTATTCATCAGTAGATTCATCATAAGCAAACCCGTATTCCTTATCAAATCCATTAATACTAGAAATTGGTAATTCTCGAGACTTTCTTGTTGCTGGGTTCAAAATAATAACGGTATTGAGATCCAAAACTAGGCACACCAACCCATTGCAAGAACCCACAATCCGTAGCATAGTCACGGGATCAGATAAAGGACAATCAAGCGAAATAATATCCATAGATGGGATTTCTTCTGTTTCATCGTAAAGGGGACAAGTGCNNTTTCATCGTAAAGGGGACAAGTGCAGAGATCCAGAGAATCAGATGAACATCCCAGAATTAGGCTATTGTGGGAGTATATATTGTTATTACTTGAAATTTTGAGATGGGTTTTCATGAATTTTGAGCGGAGATCAAAGATAGCCATGATGTGCAAACACACCAGAATTTCAATAAGGATTTCACTGAGAGTCTATATAATATCTCTCTGATAATCTCTTGAGGAAGAATCTGCAAGAACTAAGAGAATTCGGCCTCTGGTACAGCATTCAGGGATATGTTATCTTTTGGCAGTGGCGTTGCTGAATCGAGTAACATTTTTGCAGATTGTTGGATTGAGAGAAATGAGTTAGTCTGAATTTGGTGAATTGGGGAGTTTTTATACAGTTGATTAGGACTTGGAGTAATAAATTTCAACTCCAAAAAGTAATGAAATTTACACATATGGGTCCCCAAACGTTGCATCTTAGAACACTTGAATCCGGACTCACTGGAAT